CGGGCGCCTCTGTTGTCATGGCACCCTGCATGACCGCACAGCTTGCACACCCCAACGGCTGGCACTGCTGACACACACTGATGTTACTACTTAGACATCCCTCAATATTAATACAGACATCAGAGTAAACACCAATAAACTGTGGAAACAGAGCTGATCCCCCCAAAGATTTGCTTAATGGATTTGTTGTAAAATTAAATCATGCCTCCTCCTCTCTCTCTCCCATGCGCTGCTCTGTAGGCTGGGAGGAAGTGAAGAGTACTCACATTCTCCCAGCACAGCACTACCTGCGGCTGCATGGGGAACAGCTGGTTAATGTAATGCTTGCAGGACGGCCAGCTGCCGCAGAACCTCTTTGTTCCCGTCTCTGCAAAGGGCTCCAGGCACTGCTTGCTGTGAGTGTGAGCCACTGTAAATTAGGGGCAGAGGGCACTTGCACTGTCTGGGCGGGTCTGGGCAGGAGGAGAGTGCAGTGCAATCAGTGCACTCCCCTCCTGTGGGTCACCATTAGACTGGTGCACCTGCCCAGGATCAGAGCTGGTGCAAGGATTTTTGCCGCCCTAGGCAAAATAAAAATGTACCGCCCCCCATGTGACATCACAATGCCCCACCCATATGATCTGCCATATGAACTAACGCCAGTGCTGCACACAGTGTGTGTTTACATTAAAAAGCCTGCAGGGACCAGCTTTAGACACCAGAACCACATTATTAATCTGAAGTGGTTCTGGGGACTATAGTGTCCCTTTAATGTGAGGTAAATTATAGATTAGTGTCACTAATATCATACTAGATTGCCTACTTACAACCAGATGAGGAAGATGATGGGCTGCAGTTTGGCTCCACTGGTCTGGTGTAGAACAGGATCTCTGGAGGCTGTTTGCAACTTTGGTCACAAAATTCAATGTTCAGGGATAATTGGAAGCAGCTCCATTTTCTGGGGGCCCCTTACTCAGCTCAAGATCTGAGCCCCAGGGCCTGACGGTGAGTATGCCCATAAGGCCCACTCATAAGACCACTTATATGTTCCACCCACCCATGACTTCGCTTACAGGGAGTGGAGTGTGTAGGGGATGTGTTATGTGTTATTGTAGAGGATATAATATGTGTGCTTATGGTATGTAGTATATAGGGATACCAGTTTGTGTAGGTGATGCAGTGTGTTTGTGTGTAGTGGAAGCAGTGTGTATTTGTGAATAAGGGATGTATTGTGTGTTTCTGGTTGTGTGTAAGGGATGCATTGTGTGAATCTGTGTTTGTATGCATAAGGGATGCAAGGTGTGTGTCTGTATGTGTGTGCATTGAGTGTGTGTAAGATATGCATTGTGTTTCTGTGTGTATGTAAGAAAAGCAGTGTGTGTGTTTGCATGTGATACTAAACATCAAAAAATATATTGAGCAAGTATATAGACAGTTAAATGATGCCTCTACATATACTAAATTGAGTGCGGATCCTACACCCAACATAAAAAAGAAATATGTCCAGTTGTTAGATAAGGGATTAGTAAGTGATATTTTAAATAAAAATGAATATGGTTTTCTTAATATGAAAGTATGACGTTTTGCTGTATTTTATATACGTCCAACAATTCATAAAGACCAAAAAAAAACTCAGAAGACCAAGAGTGTCTGGGATAGGTTCTTTACTAAGCAGAATATCTGAGTACATTGACAGATAACTCCAGCCCCTAGTTACATCCCAACCTACGTACCTAAGGGATTCAACACAACTATTAAACATTGTGCAGGATTTACAGTGGCAAGATGATTACTATTTGTACATGTGATGTATCCAGCCTGTGTACGATTATGTCACACGAATCGGGCTGTGAAGCTATTATAATTTTTTTTAAACAGAGCGAGAGGTTCATTGACAGTCAGGTGGATTTTATACAAGAGGACATCCAGTTGAGTTTACAAAACAACTTCTTCTGGTTTAATGGCACCTTCTTTCTCCAATTAGTTGGAATTGCGATAGGGACCAGATTCGCTCCCAGTTACGCCAAACTTTTTATGTCACATTGGGAGGAATCTTTCCTCCCAAGGTATGGAGATGGGCATGTGGGTCTAGTCCTCTATTGCAGATATATGGACGATATCTTTTTTTATATGGAAAGGCACTAAGATAACTCTAGACCAATATGGAAGGGCACTAAGATAACTCTAGACAAATTTTTAGGTGATCTTAATAATAACCAGAAGAATATTGTTTTAACTAGTCAAATCAGTCAAACTAGAGTCCAATTTTTAGATTTAGATATTTCTATCCAGAATAATCAAATTCAAACTAGGACTTTTTTTTTAAACTCCATAGTGACCAGACCGTTTTTCAATTTTCTTACCGTTAGGACCAGGGCTCTTTTTACATTTCTGCAGTGTTTGTGTTTAGCTGTAATTTTCCTCTTACGTATTTACTGTACCCATATATACACATATTATATACCGTTTTTCACGCCATTAAATGGTCTTTCTAAAGATACCCTTATTTTCATCATATCATATAATTTACTATAAACAAAATTATGAAATATGATGAAAAAATGTAAAAAACACACTTTTTCTAACTTTGACCCCCAAAATCTGTTCCGCATCTACAACTGCCAAACACCCGTACTAAATAGTTTCTAACTTTTGTCCTGACTTTAGAAATACCAAATGTTAACATGTTCTTAGCTTTTTGGAAAGTTATAGGGCTATAACTAGAGTTGAGCGAACCCGGACTGTAAAGTTCGGGTTCGTACAGAACATTACGTTTTTTGGACCCCGGATCCAAACACGGACATATCACTGTATGTTCGGGTTGGAGTTTGGTGTTCGGCGATTTAATGGTGCGTTTTCAAAGGCTGCAGGGCAGCCAATCAACAAGCGTTTGACTCGTGTGCCCTTAGAAGCCATCACAGCCATGCCTACTAATGGCATGGCTGTGATTGGCCAGTGCAGCATGTGACCCAGCCTCTATATATAAGCTGGAGTCGCGTAGCGCCGCACGCACATGAGGTCTTATTAGTGTAGGGAGAGGATGCTGCCGCTGATAGGGACAGCTTAGGAAAGAATTCTGCAAACTAGTACATTAGTGGGGTGCACTTCATATCTGAGAGTCAAATAGAAGCTTCAAATACCGCGGTTACATCAGAGTTTTAAAAAGTCAATTTTTTTGGTGCTAAAAAGTACATTAGTGGGGTGCACTTCATATCTGAGAGTCAAATAGAAGCGTCAAATACTGCTGTCACATTGCAGTTTTAAAACTTAAAATTATTTGGGTGCTAAACTGCTAAATAGTATTTTAGTGGGGTGCACTTCATATCTGAGAGTCAAATAGAAGCGTCTAATAGTGTGCTTACAGCGCACTTGTAAAAATTCTAATTTTCTGGGTGCTAATCTGCTAAATAGTACATTTGCGACTGCACTTCATATCTGAGAGTCAAATAGAAGCGTCTAATAGTGTGCTTACAGCGCAGTTGTAAAAATTCTAATTTTCTGGGTGCTAATCTGCTAAATAGTACATTTTGTGGCCTGCTCTTCATATCTGAGAGTCAAATAGAAGCGTCTAATAGTGTGCTTACTGCGCAGTTGTAAACATTCTAATTGTTTTGCTGCTAATCTGCTAAATAGTACATTTGCGGCCTGCGGTGCACTTCATATCTGAGAGTCAAATAGAAGCGTCAAATAGTGCACTTACTGCGCACTTGTAAACATTCTAATTGTTTTGCTGCTAATCTGCTGCTTACATTGGAGTTTTAAAAAGTCACATTTATTTTTTTGATGCTAAATAGTATATTTGGGGTGTTCACTTCATATCTGAGAGTCAAATAGAAGCGTAACTTTGATTCGAATTCACTACATCGGTCATTTGTAATATTGTTTCACACCTACAACACTTGTTACACAGATCTAAGTGATAGAAAACAGATTGCTATTTTCTACACTAGAAATTACCAGATAACAAGCTGCTATATTTAAACCAGTGATCAATAGCTAAGAGGTACTTCAACAATATTGTAATTCTGGGACAATACCCTCACAAGTCAAACTGAGAGGTCAGTTTACAGGGAAAACTGTTGCCAGGATACAATTCTAAAAAATTTCCATATGTCCTTTGCAGACTTTACATGCTGGAAAAACACAGGTGCCAACTGCTGTGGATTTCTGCAGAGTGCATACCGGCAAGGAGGGCAGGGTTGAGGAGTGGGTGGAAGATGATGTGGAGGATGATGAGGTCCTAGACCTCACATGGAATCAAGGTCATGCGAGTGACGTGTGCAGTTTGGAGGAAGAGGCGCTGTTAGCACAGAGGCACCAGCACAGCATAAGTGGGAGCAGGGTACAAAAGCGGAGCAGCCATCCCCTAGCGCTCGTCGGCATGTATTAGCTCGAGAATTACCAGTTATCCAAGTAATACATGTAGCGATCAAAAGATCCATAATAGAGTTGAGCGAACCCGAACTGCAAAGTTCGAGTTCGTACCAGATTTAACGATCCATTCGTAGAGGTGGGCAGTCCGGTGACCAGGACCCAGACACTGTCTGGGTGGGGGTTGGACGACCGGGACCCAGTATGCCTGATGTTGAAGTTAGGAGTCACAGTGTGGAATGGATTAGCAGGGTCTGGTGCAGGGCAACCGCACGCCCCCTGGTGTTGAGCACCAGCTTTTGTGCGGACCCTGATGCAGCTTCAGTAAAAAGAGTACTTGATACCAGAAGCCATCACCAGACTGATCCACAACTTGGAACAGGATGTGACATTCAATGTAGCGGCTGTGCGCGCTTTTGGGGTTGTCACCCTGCTGCTGCTCGCCTGTCTGTGCTGCAGCGTAACTTCGGCCTTCCCGCTCACCGCCTCATGAGACTGTGTGAGCAGCAGCAGGCAATAGTGGAGTTTCAGCTGCAGCACGCACAGGTCAGTGGCTCTGCACCAGACTTCCCTCCAATTGATCAGAGTTAAAGGATTTCAAGTGGACTCATTACAATTACAGGGCCTCTAAAGAGTCCTGTATTGTTATTTGTCGTCACTACCTTCCCAGGTCGGCAGTGGGTCATTTGCACACCTGCTGCCTTCCTTGCATGTGGTTACCGTTTCTCAGGGTCCCTGTACGGAATGGAACCCTGATTCCCCGTTACCTGCGCTCACCATGGTAGCCGCAGAAACTGGCATCAAAAGTTGATATGGATGACATCCGCATGCAAAGTCGCCACCACGGGGATGTGCAATTGGCCCGAGGTTCTCTAGAGACATCAAAGTGCCTGCGCAACTATAATTTCAACAGCTACTCTGAGGAACAGAGTTGTCTTTTTTTATATGTCCCAATATTTTGGGGGCTACCCCATTTAAAAAAAAAAAATATATATATATATATATATATATATATATAAATAAATAAAAAACAGTGTTGGCTACCTCATCCTCCTCCACCACCGCCTCCTCAACCTATGGGTCACATTATCAGTGGCTTGTAAAGGCCTTTTCTCCATGCATCAGGAGTTGATCATTTCTCCATACATAAGGACTGCAAGAAATGCACCGCATGCCGCAAATGTTTCTTTTTTTATATGTCCCAATATTTTGGGGGCTACTCCAATTAAAAAAACAAATATATATATATATATATATATATATATATATATATATATATATAAAAAAACAGTGTTGGCTACCTCCTCTTCCACCGCTGCTTCCACCTACATCACCACGATCACCGCCTCCTCAACCTATGGGTCACTTAGTATAAAGTATGTACACAATAGCAGAGGCTCAGTTTGAACAATGAAAGAGAATACCCGGCACTCCAACCCTCTCTCAAATGGATAAATCAAAGATTCCATTTAGTGCTATTTTATGGCTCAGCTGTATTTTTTATTTTTATGTTATTTTAAGTGATTTCCTTATCCACATTTGTTTGCCGGGCACTTGTCCTACTCTTACCCCCATTTTACTTGCTTTTGCAGCTCTCTAGCTCTTTCCAGGAATTTTTTAGAGGCATTTTTGTGGCCAAAAGTTCGGGTCCCCATTGACTTCAATGGGGTTTCGGGTTTCGGGGTCAAGTTCGGGGTCAAGTTCGAGCCTAACCCGAACTTATTCTTAAAGTTCGGCCGAATTCGCCGGAACCCAAACATCCAGGTGTCCGCTCAACTCTAGCTATAAGTACAAGTAGCACTTTGCTGTTTCCAAACCATTTTTTTTTTTTTTCATTGTAACACTAATATCTGTCAGGAATCCCTGAATAACCCTTAACATGTATATATTTTTTTAAAAGAAGACAACCTAAGTTATTAAACCTGGGGTATTTTGACTCTTTTCATGCAACCATTTTACCATCAATCTATGCCAAATTTAAAACAAAAATAATAATTTGTGATTTTTTTTTGACACACATAGCAATTTAAGAATACATGTACTGAGAATTTTAAGGGTAACTGCCAAAGAACAAACCAATATGTGTTCAGCAACATCTCCTGAGTCTAGTGATACCACCCATGTATAGGTGTCAGGTTCTCTAGGGGTTAAAAGACCTTATTTGAAGGGTGCGCATTCCAGTTTTCCAACTTGGAATTTTCACAGCTGGTCGCACCCATGTCCTATTTAGGACATTTTTTAAGCCAGCCAATGTAATTTATCCCCATCAAACCATATATTTTTGAAAAGTAGACAACCCAGGGTATTCAAAATGGGGTATGTCCAGTGTTTTTTAGTAGCCACCTAGTCACAAACACTTGCCAAAGTTAGCATTTATATCTGTTTGTGTGTTAAAAATGCCATTATGAACGCTAACTTTTGCCAGTGTTTGTGACTAAGTGGCTACTAAAAAGGACTGAACATACCCCATTTGCAATACCTTGGGTTGTCTTCTTTTGCAAATGGTATGCCAGCATGGGGGTAATTCTCATTCCTGGGCTACCATACGCTCTCAAAGGCAACATAACCAATCTGGCAAATTTCAAAAAACATTCAAAAACACTATAAAACCTGTACATGGGGGGTACTGTTATACTCAGGAGACTTCATGGAACACAAATATTCGTGTTTCAAAACAGTAAAACTTATTACAACAATGATATCATCAGTGAAAATGCCATTTGTGTGTGAAAAATGCAAAAAATTTCACTTTCACTGACAATATCATCGATGTGATTTCTTTTACTGTTTTGAAACACTAATATTTGTGTGAATAAAACATTAACCCCATGTACAGGTTTTAGGGTGTCTTGGAAAGTTACAGGGTTAAATATAGTGCTAGCAAATTAAATTCTGTGGACTGTCAGGCCGGTCTCCCAAATTGCAATCAACAAAATTACTTAATTATGTAAAAATATTACATAAATATGCATGTAGAATTTGAATATATAAACACGTGTATATTTATGAAATTATTTATGTAATTATGTATATGGACACTTGTATATTTCGTATTTTTATATATATATATATATATATATATATATGAAACAGGGGTATTGTATATATTAATATCAAAATACAGTTAGAATAAAATATATATATATATATATATATATATATATATATACACAAATACATAGTATCCTTGCACTCTAACTAAATAGTTACATACCGGGTGCTTGTAATCCTGGGGAAGTTCAAATATCCAATTTGCAACAGGTGACCAGCACTCACGGATTCATAAAAGAGTTAAAACATCCAAAGTTTAATGAAAAATATTTTAAAAAATTGTTGACAGCTCAACGTTTCAGTCCTCCTCTGGGACTTTCATCAGGAACAATAAAAATATCTCACAATACCCATCTTTAAATAGGCACAGCAATTAGCATAATTAAACATTAAATCCCAAATTGAATTAGCATAATTAAAAGCCAAATTCAAAGAATTAGCATATTAACAGATATATACAAATAACGAAATCCAACTCACCAGTGTATGTTTGCAGTGACAGCCGGCGTTCTGAGAACGCTTTCGCGCATGTGCGCCTATAGCCCCTCCCCTGTCTGCATGACCGCACGACCCCTGCTGTCATGGCGACCGCGAGACGCCCCCCGCGACACCATGGCAGCAGCAGCAACAACGATCGCCACATATAGGTGCACTAAGCACTAGACTAAAGGATGGAACAGAAATAGAGACCCAAATATAAAACAAACATATTACATATCGAGAACGCCTGTGGGCACAAAAGGGCTCCACCCACTGTATATGGCCATAGAAAGCGTCCGTTGCCATGGTAACCGGACGGAAATGCCGGTTCACAAAGTAAACAGGACGGGAAAAGGCATACAAGCCTGACAATAAAAATATAAATATATGAAAATATAAAGATATAGCCTAATCATATGTGTATATATGATGTGCAAAATGTATATAGCGGGTAAAAAATACATATAGTGCAAAGCAATAGACTGCTGTGTGTGTATATACAAGCTGACATAAAGTATGACTTCTATATATCATATTGAAAAAGGTGCAATATGTATATGATGAATGAGGATAGACTGTGCTATATATATATACATTAACAAACAAGGAATATATCCTCTAAGATTATCATATTGGACCAAAGTGCAAAGTGCATATGAGTGAGAAAAAGCAAAAAATCCATAATGAGAAATTGACAAATAATCATAAAGTGCAAATATGACTGCAAAAAGGTCAGGTGAACTTATAAAAAATATTAATGGTCTCTACATCCATATCAACATGTAGTAAAAAAAAATGGGCTTACCCTTAATGGATATATCCACATGTGCCTATAATATATTGCATTAAAAATGGTGGCTATACACAAACAGACATTGAAGGGGCTGGCGGCTCTGCAATGCAAACATTTTTTCTTAAATGGGCTATTAAATAGATACATAAAACTATACAGTGTTGTCCATAGTTAAAAATCCATAAGAAAAACAGGATATTAGATAAAAGAGTGATATGAAATCATTTCATTAAAGCCATGTGGGGCTATAGTGTCTAATGTATGAATCCAAAATGTCTCTCGGTTCAAGAGCAACTTAGCCCTATCTCCGCCACGTTTTGGTGGAGGGATGTGGTCAATGGCTAAGAACTTGAGGGCCGACAACGGATGTTGGTGGAGAAGAAAATGTTTGGCTACAGGTTGGTCAGAAGTGCCATCACGATAGGCTACCCTGATGCTTGACCTGTGTCCCCTAATTCTTTCACACAGAGGAGTTTCCGTTTTGCCTATATAGCAAAGGCCACAAGGACATGACAATTTATAAATCACATATGGGGTCTTACAGGTGATCGTGTGTCGTATATGAAATAACTTATTACTGTGTGGATGATGGAAAACTCGTGAAGGTGTCATATGACCATAGGTCACGCATCCAAGGCAGCGAATGCTGCCCTGAGGCTGAATGCTTATATTCTTCTCATAACTTTTAGTAGGATCCGTATGTACCAACATATGTACAACAGGACTATATGGAGCACCGTGTCTACAAGTGGTTAAGTGGGGCTAATCAACAGAGACCTAGAAGATTCCGCAAAAGAATCGTGCGCCCCAAGGCCTATACGATAGATGTCACGTCTGGGGAATCGGCATCAGATACGGATTTACAAGGTGAAGGTGAAACTTTTTTAGAGACCACAGTAACCGGTACTACAACGAGAAGCAGAGGCAGAGGTACAAACGGCGCAGAACTAGGAGAGGGCATAAGGGGAAGACCCAATTCCCGTGGGAGACCACCACTGAGACGGTAGTGCCTGTGTTTAACCTATCCCAGAGGATATTGCGTAAAGAAGAGATCGATATCCTCAAATTGGGATTGTCATTTGTTCCTGAGACAAATCCGAATAGTTTTACTTGGAATGTAGAACTATTTAGTTTTGGAAGAACTATGCGTTTGAAAGATTATTTTAATAAACCATTTACGTATCAATCGAATGACAATGAAGTGCTAACACGGTTCAAACCAAGATCTAACTTTGATCCACAAAATAATCGGGCAAGTATCAAAACATTTCTGTCTACTGTCCAACTCGAATCTGCAGAAGCATTGAAAAAGCCATGTGTGTCACGTAAGAATTTAAGTAAACAGCAACACCTACTTCTAAACAATCTAACACAGGATTCATCCATCGTTATACGCCCCGCAGATAAAGGCGGAGGCATAGTTATAATGGACTATGACAAATATGCTGAAGAAGTTAAAAGACAACTGAGGGACGTGAATACATATCAAGAATTGGAAGGTGACCCAACACATATGGTACAAGCAAGGATAGAAGAGATACTGATTATGGGTCTGAGAGCAAATTATATAGATCAAAATTTATATGCA